GGGATGTACAGCTGCCGGGCATCGAACCGGCTCGGAGAGGACCGGACACAGTGCCGCCTCACCGTGGAGGGTGAGGCTCAAACACTGGATCATTATTATTATCTGTTTCAGTTTATCGCAAACTCTTCTGGAATAATCTTGAAATTTCAGCACAAAAGGAATGAGCGTAAACAAAAGACAATTCAGAAGAAATATCGCAAAAAACCTTTGAGTGGATATTTTATAAATACTGTAAAACATGGTCAAAATGTTTGAAATTGATGTACAAAATACAAATGATAAAGAAAACATATTTTGACTGCAATCAACATAACAATCCCTTACAGTCCATCACACTGCATTTACACTACGAATTGGATTGTATGTTTTATAATAAATGGTCCAATAAGACAGAGCGGTTTTGTTTTTCTTCTCGTATTCAGCGCCTGGTTCTGGGACTGCCTGATAATACATTCTTAAAAACAAGCCCAATATGTTTTACTGAAGCCGCAGTATTTGTTTGTGTTTGTTTCCAGAGCCCCAGGACGGGGTGCAGCCGTGGTTCATCACCAAGCCCAAAGCAGTGAGAGCGGTTCAGGGTCAACACGTCCTGCTGTCCTGCGCTGTGGCTGGAGACCCTTTCCCAGGGTGCACCTGGGCCAGAGCCGGACGACCTCTGACCTCCGGGGGCGACTACGAACTGCTGCAGAAAGAGGACGTCATCTCACTGCTGATCAGGTCATTAAAGAGTCCCCTGTCTCTACTTTAAAGAGTCCTCTCCTGTATAGCATTGAACAACCCCCATCATTTTTAGAGCATTTGATGAATATTATATATATTTTGACGGCAAAAGATGTCCCTTGGGGTAAAATGACCCCAGGACAACCGGAGGGTTAAATACATCTGTAGATCCTGCACTAATCAATACGTGACACTAACAGGAACATGTTCCCTCTTCTTCCTCAGGAGGGTTACAGATCTTCACGCTGGAGAGTACGTGATCACTCTGAGGTGAGAGAACCGCTCTCTGTATCATCACATGTTTTTGAGTTGGATTTAACATATATGGACAAAACTACAAATATAAGCAGATGTTTTGTGGATGGCAGCATGCTAAAATAATCCTCTACAGTATGCAGATGAAGCGAGGATTAAACCCAAAAGGAAGCACCACCCCTCCCCCGTCCATAAATCCATAATCTATCCTCGGCCTCCTGACATACAGAGGCCCTCCTCTGATGGTTCAGCTTGTTCACTTTGTGGTAATAAGACAGTCAAATACAGTGTTTTACAGAGGAATCACTACAAATAGATTGGATCATTAGTAGGGAGATCAAATGGGGAGTAACCCTGTTGATATACCTCAAAACAGATATGGTGTTTTAAAAAACAGTTTGCAGTCTGTGCATTCAATACTGTATAGAAAGGGAAATAACTATCACTAACATGTAGACAACATGTGTTTCATAGACCTCTTCTGCATGAAGATATGGAAAATATGAGCTAAGCTTCTGTTTAAGGTACTCCCTAGGGTACTCTCTGGGGTACTCTCTACTCTCTGGGGTACTCTCTGTGGTACTCTCTACTCTCTGGGGTACTCTCTGGGGTACTCTCTGTGGTACTCTCTGGGGTACTCTCTGGGGTACTCTCTGTGGTACTCTCTACTCTCTGGGGTACTCTCTACTCTCTGTTCTTTGGGGTACTCTCTGGGGTACTCTCTACTCTCTGGGGTACTCTCTAGGGCAGTGGTTCTCAACTGGTGGGTCGCGACCCAAAAGTGGGTCGCGGACCCGTTTCGAGTGGGTCGCGGATGTGTGAGTGAAGAACAAAAAGTTGAAAAAAAAATTTGGAATTTTGTTTTTTGTTTTTTGGGGAAAAAGTCAAACTTTTATTTTGAAGAATGCGTAGTTTATGTTAGTATTTCTAAAAATCTCCTGGGGGAAAATCCCCCCAGACCCCCCTGCTGGGTTGGGTTTCAGCATGTGTGCCTTTTTATATAGTTCAGCTTTGATTCCATCATCTCATTAAACCTTTTTTAAAAGCATACTTTAGTTCTGTGAAGGGATATAAGGGATATATACACTCTACTTCACTTTTATTAATATTGTATGCTCAAAAGCGTATATATTACAGCACGATGTTTTGTTGAATAGATTTGAGTGCTTCAAAATGTTGGGTCGCGATGTATTGACCAAGTAAAAAGTGGGTCCCGAGGCCTGACCAGTTGAGAACCACTGCTCTAGGGTACTCTCTGGGGTACTCTCTACTCTCTGGGGTACTCTCTGGGGTACTCTCTACTATTTGGGGTACTCTCTGGGGTACTCTCTACTCTCTGGGGTACTCTCTACTCTTTAGGGTACTCTCTGGGGTACTCTCTACTCTTTGGGGTACTATTTAGGGTACTCTCTGGGGTACTATCTTGGGTACTCTCTACTCTCTGGGGTACTCTCTACTCTTTAGGGTACTCTCTGGGTACTCTCTACTCTTTGGGGTACTCTTTAGGGTACTCTCTGGAGTACTCTCTTGGGTACTCTCTTGGGTACTCTCTGGGATACTCTCTGGGATACTCTCTGGGGTACTCTCTACTCTTTGGGGTACTCTCTGGGGTACTCTCTACTCTCTGGGGTACTCTCTACTCTCTGGGGTACTCTTTGGGGTACTCTCTGGGGTACTCTCTACTAGTAAGTAAGTAAGTAAAACTTTATTTATATAGCACCCTTCTCAACACGGATGTACAAAGTGCTTTACAGTACAGTACACAGGACACAATTCACAGTACAACTATAACATGTAGAATAAAAGGCATAAAACAGCAGCAGGTAATACATACGATAAAACACCAATAAAAGACAGCCACTAACTCACCTCCTCCGACGACCCAAAGGCCTGACGGAAAAGGTGGGTCTTTAACTGCCCCTTAAAAATCTCTATTGAGGCAGAGGTTTTTATTATCTGGGGGAGTTTGTTCCAAAGCCTTGGGGCCACCACCTCAAAGGCACGGTCCCCCTTAGTTTTTAGCCTGGTTCGGGGCACCCTTAGGAGACCTTGCTCAGAGGACCTCAGGGCCCGGGTTGTGCTGTGAGGGTGGATCAGGTCATTGATGTAGGCTGGGGCTTGGCCATGGACAGCTCTATATGTGAAGACCAATACCTTGAATTGGGTTCTGAGATGGACAGGGAGCCAGTGCAGGGCAGAAAGAATCGGAGTGATGTGGCTACTCTCTGGGGTACTCTCTGGGGTACTCTCTACTCTCTGGGGTACTCTCTACTCTCTGGGGTACTCTATACTCTTTGGGGTACTATATACTCTTTGGGGTACTCTCTGGGGTACTCTCTACTCTCTGGGGTACTCTCTACTCTTTGGGGTACTCTCTAGGGTACTCTCTACTCTTTGGGGTACTCTCTGGGGTACTCTCTGGGGTACTCTCTACTCTTTGGGGTACTCTCTGGGGTACTCTCGACTCTCTGGGGTACACTCTACTCTTTGGGGTACTCTCTGGGGTACTCTCTACTCTCTGGGGTACTTTCTGGGGTACTCTCTGTGGTACTCTCTACTTTCTGGGGTACTCTCTAGGGTACTCTCTTGGGTACTCTTTGGGGTATTCTCTGTGATATTCTCTGGGGTACTCTCTAGCTCTCTAGGGTACTCTCTGGGGTACTCTCTACTCTCTGGGGTACTCGGTACTCTCTGGGGTACTCTCTACTCTCTGGGGTACTCGGTACTCTCTTGAGTACTCTCTGGGGTACTCTCTAGATCTCTGGGGGACTCTCTGGGGTACTCTTTAGGGTACTCTCTACTCTTTGGGGTACTCTCTGGGGTACTCTCTACTCTTTAGGGTACTCTCTGGGGTACTCTCTTGGGTACTCTCTGGGGTACTCTCTGGGGTACTCTCTAGCTCTCTGGGGGACTCTTTAGGGTACTCTCTGGGGTACTCTCTACTCTTTGGGGTACTCTCTGGGGTACTCTTTAGGGTACTCTCTGGGGTACTCTCTTGGGTACTCTCTGGGGTACTCTCTTGGGGTACTCTCTGGGATACTCTCTGGGATACTCTCTGGGGTACTCTCTAGGGTACTCTCTAGGGTACTCTCTTGGGTACTCTCTGGGGTGCTCTCTGGGGGACTCTCTGGGGTACTCTTTAGGGTACTCTCTGGGGTACTCTCTACTCTTTGGGGTACTCTCTAGGGTACTCTTTAGGGTACTCTCTGGGGTACTCTCTTGGGTACTCTCTTGGGTACTCTCTGGGGTACTCTCTGGGATACTCTCTGGAGTACTCTCTTGGGTACTCTCTGGGATACGCTCTGTGGTACTCTCTGGGGTACTCTCTGGGGTACTCTCTAGCTCTCTGGGGGACTCTCTGGGGTACTCTTTAGGGTACTCTCTGGGGTACTCTCTACTCTTTGGGGTACTCTCTAGGGTACTCTTTAGGGTACTCTCTGGGGTACTCTCTTGGGTACTCTCTTGGGTACTCTCTGGGGTACTCTCTGGGATACTCTCTGGAGTACTCTCTTGGGTACTCTCTGGGATACGCTCTGTGGTACTCTCTGGGGTACTCTCTGGGGTTCTCTCTAGCTCTCTGGGGTACTCTCTACTCTCTGGGGTACTCTCTAGGGTACTCTACTCTCTGGGGTACTCTCTCGCTCTCTAGGGTACTCTCTGGGGTACTCTTTAGGGTACTCTCTACTCTTTGGGGTACTCTCTGGGGTACTCTCTACTCTTTGGGGTACTCTCTGGGGTACTCTTTAGGGTACTCTCTGGGGTACTCTCTTGGGTACTCTCTGGGGTACTCTCTTGGGGTACTCTCTGGGATACTCTCTGGGATACTCTCTGGGGTACTCTCTAGGGTACTCTCTAGGGTACTCTCTTGGGTACTCTCTGGGGTGCTCTCTAGGGTACTCTCTGGGGTACTCTCTTGGGTACTCTCTGTGGTACTCTCTGGGGTACTCTCTAGGGTACTCTCTTGGATACTCTCTGGGGTACTCTCTGGGGTACTCTCTAGGGTACTCTCTTGGGTACTCTCTTGGGGTACTCTCTGGGGTACTCTATGGGATACTCTCTGGGGTACTCTCTTGGGTACTCTCTGGGGTGCTCTCTGGGGTACTCTCTGGGGTACTCTCTAGGGTACTCTCTAGGGTACTCTCTAGGGTACTCTCTTGGATACTCTCTGGGGTACTCTCTGTGGTACTCTCTACTCTTTGGGGTACCCTCTGGGGTACTCTCTGGGGTACTCTCTACTCTCTGGGGTACTCTCTACTCTCTGGGGTACTCTACTCTTTAGGGTACTCTCTGGGATTCTCTCTGGGGTACTCTCTAGGGTACTCTCTGGGATACTCTCTGGGGTACTCTCTAAGGTACTCTTTTGGGTACTCTCTGGGGTACTCTCTAGCTCTCTGGGGGACTCTCTGGGGTACTATTTAGGGTACTCTCTGGGGTACTCTCTACTCTTTGGGGTACTCTCTAGGGTACTCTTTAGGGTACTCTCTGGGATACTCTCTTGGGTACTCTCTTGGGTACTCTCTGGGATACTCTCTGGGATACTCTCTGGGGTACTCTCTAGGGTACTCTCTAGGGTACTCTCTTGGGTACTCTCTGGGGTGCTCTCTGGGGGACTCTCTGGGGTACTCTTTAGGGTACTCTCTGGGGTACTCTCTACTCTTTGGGGTACTCTCTAGGGTACTCTTTAGGGTACTCTCTGGGGTACTCTCTTGGGTACTCTCTTGGGTACTCTCTGGGGTACTCTCTGGGATACTCTCTGGAGTACTCTCTTGGGTACTCTCTGGGATACGCTCTGTGGTACTCTCTGGGGTACTCTCTGGGGTACTCTCTAGCTCTCTGGGGGACTCTCTGGGGTACTCTTTAGGGTACTCTCTGGGGTACTCTCTACTCTTTGGGGTACTCTCTAGGGTACTCTTTAGGGTACTCTCTGGGGTACTCTCTTGGGTACTCTCTTGGGTACTCTCTGGGGTACTCTCTGGGATACTCTCTGGAGTACTCTCTTGGGTACTCTCTGGGATACGCTCTGTGGTACTCTCTGGGGTACTCTCTGGGGTTCTCTCTAGCTCTCTGGGGTACTCTCTACTCTCTGGGGTACTCTCTAGGGTACTCTACTCTCTGGGGTACTCTCTCGCTCTCTAGGGTACTCTCTGGGGTACTCTTTAGGGTACTCTCTACTCTTTGGGGTACTCTCTGGGGTACTCTCTACTCTTTGGGGTACTCTCTGGGGTACTCTTTAGGGTACTCTCTGGGGTACTCTCTTGGGTACTCTCTGGGGTACTCTCTTGGGGTACTCTCTGGGATACTCTCTGGGATACTCTCTGGGGTACTCTCTAGGGTACTCTCTAGGGTACTCTCTGGGGTACTCTCTAGGGTACTCTACTCTTTGGGGTACCCTCTGGGATACTCTCTGGGATACTCTCTGGGGTACTCTCTCGCTCTCTAGGGTACTCTTTGGGGTGCTCTCTACTCTCTGGGGTACTCTCTGGGGTACTCTCTACTATTTGGGGTACTCTCTGGGGTACTCTCTACTCTTTGGGGTACTCTCTGGGGTACTCTCTGGGGTACTCTCTACTCTCTGGGGTACTTTCTGGGGAACTCTCTAGCTCTCTGGGGTACTCTGTAGGGTACTCTCTGGGGTACTCTCTACTCTTTGGGGTACTCTCTGGGGTACTCTCTGGGGTACTCTCTGGGGTACTTTCTACTCTTTGGGGTACTCTCTGGGGTACTCTCTGGGGTACTCTCTACTCTTTAGGGTACTCTCTGGGGTACTCTCTGGGGTACTCTCTACTCTTTAGGGTACTCTCTGGGGTACTCTCTACTCTTTAGGGTACTCTCTGGGGTACTCTCTACTCTTTGGGGTGCTCTCTGGGGTACTCTCTACTCTCTGGGGTACTTTCTGGGGTACTCTCTGGGGTACTCTCTACTCTGTAGGGTACTCTCTGGGGTACTCTCTACTCTTTAGGGTACTCTCTTGGGTACTCTCTACTCTTTGGGGTACTCTCTGGGGTACTCTCTACTCTTTGGGGTACTCTCTGGGGTACTCTCTACTCTTTGGGGTACTCTCTGGGGTACTCTCTACTCTTTGGGGTACTCTCTGGGGTACTCTACTCTTTAGGGTACTCTCTGGGGTACTCTCTACTCTTTGGGGTACTCTCTGGGGTACTCTCTACTCTTTAGGGTACTCTCTGGGGTACTCTCTACTCTTTGGGTACTCTCTGGGGTACTCTCTACTCTTTGGGGTACCCTCTGGGGTACTCTCTGGGGTACTCTCTACTCTCTGGGGTACTCTCTACTCTCTGGGGTACTCTCTACTCTTTGGGGTACTCTCTACTCTCTGGGGTACTCTCTACTCTTTGGGGTACTCTCTGGGGTACTCTCTACTCTCTGGGGTACTCTCTGGGGTACTCTCTACTCTTTGGGGTACTCTCTGGGGTACTCTCTACTCTCTGGGGTACTCTCTACTCTCTGGGGTACTCTCTACTCTTTGGGGTACTCTCTGGGGTACTCTCTACTCTTTGGGGTACCCTCTGGGGTACTCTCTGGGGTACTCTCTACTCTCTGGGGTACTCTCTACTCTCTGGGGTACTCTCTACTCTCTGGGGTACTCTCTACTCTCTGGGGTACTCTCTACTCTCTAACTCTTATGGGTACTCTCTGAAATGATTCAGTCTAGTGCAGTGAGTAATATAACTGTCTGTTGTGTTGACCGTCTGTCCTCAGGAACCAGGTTGGGCAGTGCAGCGCTGTGGCCTGTCTGTCTGTCACTGACGGAGAGACAGACAGGTCGGCAGGACGAGAGACAGACAGGTCGGCAGGACGAGAGACAGACAGGTCGGCAGGACGAGAGACAGACAGGTGAGATGCTGGTTCACCCTTTATTCCTTCAGCATCACAGCTCTTTCAGATACTCATGCTCCTCAGAGGATGAATCCTAACCCTCTAACAATATGTTATAATGCTAACGTTTGCTACTCTTTGTGCTAAACTTCCCAATGCTATTATTTTTCCTTTTTGAAATCGAATTCCCTCCAACTTGTCTGTCTGTCTGTCTGTCTGTCTGTCTGTCTGTCTGTCCGTCTGTCTGTCCTATTTCCTCCGATTCTCATAATAAAGCTTCTCTAATCCGTCCATATCATCCAAACCAATCAGAGCCAGTATTTCCTCTCCCTCTGTTTACACTGTGTGTGTGTTTGTGTGTGTGCTATATGTGTGTGTGTGTGTGTGTGTGTGTGTGTGTGTGTGCTATATGTGAGTGTGTGTGGTGTGTGTGTGTGTGTGTGTGTGTGTGTGTGTGTGTGTGTGTGTGTGTGTGTGAGAGAGTGTGTGTGTGTGTGTGTGTGTGTGTGTGTGTGTGTGTGTGTGTGTGTGTGTGTGTGTGTGTGTGTGTGTGTGTGTGTGTGTGTGTGTGTGTGTGTGTGTGTGAGTGAGTGAGTGTGTGTGTTGGAAGAGGAAGCGACAAAGTATATTAGATTTCAACTGCCGTGTAAAAATAAAACCCACAAGAACACGGAGCGTTAAGCAACCGGGACGACTGTGTTTACATCTGTGTGTGTGTGTGTGTGTGTGTGTGTGTGGTGTGTGTGTGTGTGTGTGTGTGCGTGTGCGTGTGTGTGTGTTCAGGCCGATCTGGGTGCATGCCCATATAAGGGCAGTCGAGTCACTTGTGATGTAGCGTGGACATTTTGAGTCGAGGTCTCCCCCCCCTGCAGGGGATTTAACCCAGCTCTGTTTACTCTCTCTCCCCTCCATCTGTCTCTGTGCTCGTTCGCCCAGAGGACGAAGAGGAGGAGGAGGAAGAGGAGGAGGAGGAGCAGTGAGAGGAGGAGAGCAGCAGGGCAGCAGAGTCAGTCGGCAGGAGGCCAACGAGCAGCAGAAGAAGAACCTGCAGCAGGAGGAGAAGACGCTCCTGCAGAAGAAGAAGAAAGAGGAGGAGGAGGAGGACCAGAAGCTTCTGGGACACAGAGCACTCAAAAACAACCGTGAAGAGGAAGAGGAGGAGGTGAGGGAGGAAGAGCGCCGCAGCCAAAACAGCATCATCATGGACTTCAAGGCTAACCTGAAAGGTGTGAAGAAGGCGGAGGATCGGAAAGCCGCGGCGCCGCAGGTCGACTTCAGGGCCGTGCTGGGGAAGAAGAGCGGAGCGAAACCAGCCGAGAAAAACGTGCGGATGTTTATTATTATAATTTTTTATAATGCTAACATTAAGCTACTTTTATAATGCTAACATTTAGCTACTTTTATAATGCTAACATTAGGTTCAAGGCTTTTTCCATTTCATTAAGCTACTTTTACAATGCTAACATTTAGCTACTTTTATAATGCTAACATTAGGTTCAAGGCTTTTTCCAGTTCATTAAGCTACTTTTACAATGCTAACATTTAGCTACTTTTATAATGCTAACATTAGGTTCAAGGCTTTTTCCAGTTCATTAAGCTACTTTTACAATGCAAACATGAAGTTATTTTTAGAATGCTAAGATTCAGCTACTTTTATAATGCTAACATTAAGCTACTTTTATAGTGCTAACACTTACCTCCTTTTATAATGCTAACATTTAGCTATTTATTTATTTTTTAACTTATTCTTTGATAGTTACATTCAGCTACTTTTATAAAACTAACATTAAGCGACTTTCACAACGCTAACAGTTAGCTACTTTTATAATGCTGACATTAAGCTACTTTCACAATGCTAACATTTAGCTACTTTACAATGCTAACATTTAGTTATTTTTGAAATGCTAACATTTAGCTACTTTAATAATGCTAACACTTAGCTCCTTTTATAATGCTAACATTAAGCTTCTTTTATAATGCTAACATTAAGCTTCTTTTATAATGCTAACAGTTAGCTTCTCTTTATGCTAAACTTCTCGAATGCTAACGTTACTTTATTCATTCTCAGCTGACCTCTGTTAAATGAATTTGTGCTTTATTTATTCTCCTAATAACTTATGCTAATTATGCTAACTCACATTTTGTTAGCATACCTTATTTTATCAACGCTAATGGTACCTCTTTCGTGCTCATCTTAACTCATGTCACATGTTTAGCCTTCACAATTGTAATAATGCTAAATTGTAATGTTACCCTTTCTGTAACATCATTTTTAACTTATCTATTCATCTATCTATCTATCTATCCATCCATCCATCCATCCATCCATCCATCCATCCATCCATCCATCCATCCATCCATCCATCCATCCATCCATCCATCCATCCATCCATCCATCTATCTATCTATCTTTCCATCCATCTCTGAAAGGTGGAAGAAGGCATCAAGAAGACGAGCCCCGAGAAGAACGGGGAGAAGATGGCGGAGAACAACTGTGTGGACGAGGGTCTGAAGGAGAAGAAGGCGGGGGGGAAGATGGCTCCTGAGTTCTTGGAGAAGCTTTGTGACGTGACGGTGATCGACGGACATATCCTCCGTCTGCAGTGCCGTCTGAACGCCTCGGATCCTCCGTCTGTCACCTGGACGCTGGACGGAAAGACCATCAAACCCTCCAAGTTCATCGTGCTCGCCAACGAAGGTCAGAGGTCACGACCACACTCAAGCCTACTCCATTTAAAACCTCCAGCTCAAAAAGTCCATTTCACTTTTTTGGGGGGGATATTTGAAGCTTTTAGGATATTTTTGTTGGTAGATTATGAGAATAAAGTTGTGTTATCGGATGCACGACCGCACTGCTTCCAAAAGCCATTTCTAATTTATGCATTGGACATTTTTGTTGGTAGATTGTGAGAAAAGAGTCTCTGCATCGTGCTATAGGTGTCCATGTTTTATATAGAACGAGATAAATCATAACATCTAAGTAATAATGTAATATCTGTGTATTATCTTTACTTTGCACGACCGCACTGTTTCCAAGAGTCATTATATTTTATGCATCAAACTCAAAAGGTCAGAGGTCACGACCACACTCAAGCCTCACGACCACACTCAAGCCTACTCCGTATAAAAGCATCATCTCAAAAAAGTCCATTTTGACTTTTTTTTATGGGATATTTGAAGCTTTTTTGGATATTTTTGTTGGTAGTCTCTAATAACCACCAAATTCTTTCAAAATGAACGTTTTTTATTACCATTTGTATTCATGCACAACAATAACATAATACATACAATTCAACCTTTATTTTGAAAGTCTTCACAGCTTTTTAGTTTGAATATTTGAAGCTTTTAGGATATTATTGTTGGTAGAAGTTATAGGTGTTATCTTTGATATGAAACAAGGCATTACATTACAGCATATACGTAATAATCTCTGTATTATCTTCACTTTGCACGAGGAGAAACCCGAATGAGATTCATGTGAAAGTTTATTCTAACTCCCTCGTTATAAAACCTTTATTTTGAAAGCCTTCACTGCTTTTTAGTCCGAATATTTGAAGCTTTTTGGATATTTTAGTTTGGTAGATTGTGAGAAACGAGTTATTGTTGTTATCTTTTACAAAGTGCAGCAACATGGAGAATACACACGTAATAATTAAATATCTGAGTATCATCTTCAGTTCCCGTGAGGAGCTTATTAAACGTCCTCGGCTGACGTTCCCGTTAAACTTCCATCTGATTCTCCATTTTTATATTTTCCTCCCAAATTGAAAGTGGACGAAGTGTCCGGATAAAGTTGTGTGAGAGAAAAGATGGAGGACTTAGAGCAACTGTTGACTCTATTAATAGAGCTCTGAAACAACAGGATGTGATGCTATTGTTGGGATTCATGTGAACAGATCACTTTACATGGGACACACACACACAGGGGTTCGTCTTACTGCCCATGTGAGGACCACGCAGTGTGAGGACCTTGTATTTATTTTTAATTCTCATCCGTTAAAGAGACAGGTTTATTAATAGTAAGCTTCTTTCATTTGATGGTCAATACTGTACTATGGGTTTATTAAAACAAACGAGTGGCAAAAACGAAATGGTTTGTAACTCAGTCTTAATGTTGATAGTGTTTATTATTGTACAATATATATAATAACTACATTATAGTGAGTTTTAATATATTTATATCAGGTTTATAGGATGAAACATGATCAACAGGCTACTGACATTAAACAAACGGGTTAACAACAAATATAATTCTTTATTTTGTTTTTCTTTATATATTATTTTACTTTATTAATCCTTCAAGTGATTACATTTTCCGTCAACAAACAAACAAACAAACAAACAAACTGAATTATTATTGACTTCAATTATTTTCTGCTAATCGACTAATCAATTAAACAGAGAACAGACAGACGGACATAGATGAGAGTAACACCTACGTCACTTCCGGGCAACAATTACGGCCCCGCCCACTTTTGGGGGAAAACAAAGCTGTCATTTGAATGGCTGTCAATACACATTCTGAAGTGAAACCGTGGATTTTCTGGTCTTCAAAGAGCCCGATTACGATGGCCAGGCAAGCAAACAATTACATTAAATCATTTGAAATCGACGATCGGTCTCGATATATGGTTAAATTAAAATCAGTAGGCGAGGCCGTAATTTCGCCAGCTGTTACTCTCGTGAGCGAGGCGGAAAATAATAGTTTTATCATGACAAAAAGCTGCTGTGTCGTTTATTGCACCTCAAACATTAAAACAAATCCAGAGTTACGTGTTTCTGAACTTCCTCTAAGAACAAAGGACAAAGAAGAGCTCTGTGGCTTCAGGCTCGATCGCCGTTCAAATGACAGCTTTGGTTTCCCCCAAAAGTGGGCGGAGCCGTCATTTTTGCCCGGAAGTGACGCATGTGTTACTCTCATCTATACAGTGTGAACTACAGACAGGAGGTGCATCATGGGAAATGTAGTGCTATCAGTTATGCATACATTTTTCAATGCATATTGATAAACATTTAAAACAAATAATGCTTTAAAACGTAAACATGCCAGATTTTAGCATTGAGCTAGTTTCCATCCGTAGTCCCGTCACATACTACATTTAAGAACCTGACATTTATATACATAGCAAAAATAAATGATATGCAGAAAGAGCATGAGCAGCAGATACAAGCATTAAACACCTGGCAGTACAATGTAGCAGCTACGGTATATAAAGGGCAAGAGGAGATACCCCTGAGTTAAAGGTCAAGAGGAGATACCCCTGAGTTAAAGGAGAGGAGATACCCCTGAGTTAAAGTGCATTTAGCGGTGATTGCACGTCTCTTTGTTTCTTAACCATTCTTTGAGTTGACCTTTGAAACTATTGAGAGTGAAACAGTCCCGTATCTCAGCTGAGAGGCTGTTCCACAAAGAGCTGCCTTTAATGGAGAGGACATTTTGACCAAAAGTGGTCCGTCTGCGGTGGACTTCACAGTCTCCTCTGGTTTCTGACCTAGTGCAGCGTCCAGTGTGTTTTCTGTGGATGAATTCCCCTAAGGGAGGGGGGGGGGGGGGAAGTCCATGTAAACATTTATAAATAAAACACATACTTTTAAAAGACTTAAAATGGTCAAAACTGAAGAAGTTGTGTTTCTCAAGGATGGCACAGTGGTGGTATGAATTAGGCTTTCTGTCAAACACCTTGATAGCTCTCTCTCTCAGCTGTTCTATGGGTTTCAGGTTTGTGGCACAAGCAAACGACCAGTTTGTCAAACAGTATTCAATGTGTGATAGAATCATACAGTGGAGGTATGACTTTGCAGCATTGACAGTTAAGAAAGGTCTCATTTGTTTAAAATGTTGAAAGTTGAATTTAACGGTATTGGATACTTTCTTAATATGTTTCTTAAAAGTCAAGTTCGAGTCCAGTATGACTCCAAGATACTTGAAGTGGGGGACTAGTTCTATTTCTGCTCCGTTTAAAAACACGTTGGATCCTTCGATTTTGACTGGTCGTTTACTGAACATCATGCATACTGTTTTTTTTGCATCTAACTGTAAGCTAATGTTGTTCAGCCAGTGTTGAACCTTATCCAAAGCATTTGAGAGACAGAATGAGATCATTTCAGTGTTTATCCCATGTACAAAGATGAACGCATCATCAGCATACATTTGCACTTAAAGACTTCCTGCAGTGACTCTAACCTTGTTATTAACCAGGACCCCTGAAGGCACCACATCAGAAACAAACCGTCCCTGAAGGCAACGTTTTCATTGTGTGTTTCTCAATCTAAATCATTCTGTAACTAATTTAATAATCAATATTTCAAAATGAAATAGCCTCTATTTCCCTGTTTTATCAGTAAGCTGGAATATCTTTTCAAATATAATTAATCACAATTTAATTAACAAATAAATTAATAAAATAATGGATGATATGATGAAAAGGATCATGGAAAATGCAGGAATAAGAAAGGGTAAAAATCTTCAAGGTCCCCGTACTGCCTGATCAATCACAGGTCCCCACAACACCCCTAAACAAACACACACACACAACATATTTTCAGTTTGTTATTTTTTGTTAATATTATTAAAGAAAAGTTGTGGAAATCTAAAGTGAAATAAATAAATCCCTGTAAGAATTTTTACTTATTTTACTTTTAAATAAACATGTATTTGTATTTATTTTTGCACATTTTAAAGGGCCCATGTCATGCTTTTCCAGTTATTACCCGTCCCCTTGGTGTTATGAAGGTTTTTATGCATGTAAACGGTCTGCAGAGTCACAAACCCTCAAAGTACACCCTGTAGCGAGTAAAACTCTAACACCTCCCCAAAACGCCTCGTTGGAGATACGTCATTGTCCATTTGATTCTTCCATTTCGTTCCGGGTACGGCATGATGTCATGCCGTACCCGGAACGAAATGGACCAATCCGTGGAGCCGTTACGTTACGTCCGCGGAGCCGTTACGTTAAGCCTCCGCTGATTGGTCCAAATTGACCAATCCACGGACTTCCTCACACACACATCTGTGTGCAGGGAGCAGGCAGCTCTGCTGATTCCTCCTCCCTGGCTGCAGGCTGATAACAGACAGTTGGGATCGTGGTGAGATTCTCTCTGCAGACCCATTCTCTCTGCAGACCCATTCTCTCTGCAGACCCATTCTCTCTGCAGACCCATTCTCTCTGCAGACCCATTCTCTCTGCTGACCCATTCTCTCCGCAGACCCATTCTCTCTGCAGACCCATTCTCTCTGCAGACCCATTCTCTCTGCAGACCCATTCTCTCTGCAGACCCATTCTCTCTGCAGACCCATGGCATCTCTGCAGAGCCATTCTCTCTGCAGACCCATTCTCTCTGCAGACCCCCTCTCCCAGCGTTTATCCACCTTTTTCTTACTCAATATCAGACACACTTATTGTTTTTTACTTCGGCTGTGACTTTGTGTGTGCTCAGGATGAGTTTGGCTGTGTTTGGCTATGTATCCTAAACAAGGAAACAACACCCTCCACGGAGCTCAGCGCGATTCACAACGTCCCGACCAAATCAGAGCACACTGTGCTCACAGGGAGGGGTGGGGGCTGGAGCATATTGGGAGCTACAACGAGCCGTTAAAGGCGAGAGTGAAATTCAGTGAATACACGTAGTTTACAGAGATGCTGTTTGAGAAACCAATGTGAGTTTGGAGAGATGCTGTTTGAGAAACCAATGTGAGTTTGGAGAGATGCTTTGAGCATTTGGAGAGTGCTTTTGAGAAACCAATGTGAGTTTGGAGAGATGCTGTTTGAGAAACCAATGTGAGTTTGGAGAGATGCTGTATGAGAAACCAATGTGAGTTTGGAGAGATGCTGTCTGAGAAACCAATGTGAGTTTGGAGAGATGCTGTATGAGAAACCAATGTGAGTTTGGAGAGATGCTGTATGAGAAACCAATGTGAGTTTGGAGAGATGCTGTATGAGAAACCAATGTGAGTTTGGGAGAGATGCTGTATGAGAAACCAATGTGAGTTTGGAGAGATGCTGTATGAGAAACCAATGTGAGTTTGCAGAGATGCTGTATGAGAAACTAATGTGAGTTTGGAGAGATGCTGTATGAGAAACCAATGTGAGTTTGGAGAGATGCTGTGTGAGAAACCAATGTGAGTTTGGAGAGATGCTGTTTGAGAAACCAATGTGAGTTTGGAGAGATGCTGTATGAGAAACCAATGTGAGTTTGGAGAGATGCTGTATGAGAAACCAATGTGAGTTTGGAGAGATGCTGTATGAGAAACCAATGTGAGTTTGGAGAGATGCTGTTTGAGAAACCAATGTGAGTTTGGAGAGATGCTGTATGAGAAACCAATGTGAGTTTACAGAGATGCTGTATGAGAAACCAATGTGAGTTTGGAGAGATGCTGTATGAGAAACCAATGTGAGTTTGGAGAGATGCTGTTTGAGAAACCAATGTGAGTTTGGAACAATGCACAATATAAATCAATTCTAGTATACCTCAACAATGGAATTATGATCAGTGGAAATGGCCATGACATGGGCCCTTTAATAAAATACATATATTTTTTAATTGTATATTTTTAACAACATTTTTGGGCGTAAGATCATAAGATGTATAAATAATTAAAACAATAATAATAATTGTAATTTAAAAAAACAAGATATAATAAATCATAATAATATCTAAATAAAACAAACAAAAAATACTAATAATAATGTTAATATACATTTTTTATAATATTGTTGTTGTTGTTGTTGTTGTGCAGGCGGCCTGTGCTCCCTGACTATAGGGAAAGCTCTTCCTGAGGATGAAGGAGAATATAAATGCAGAGCGGAGAACTCAGCTGGGAAATCTGAGAGCTGCTGCATGGTGCTGGTGGACGGTAAGACCTATCATTATATATATATATTATATATTATATTTAATAACTGCTCCATTCAGCTGATCAGAAAGACATCGCACATTTCAAACTTCAGATGTGGCCTTAATACTTCTCTGTATCGGTCAGTTTGGATATTATTAATTAAATATGAATTTCCATTTTAAATTATTCTTCACTGTCATCATTAGGCGCTTTCACACCGGAGTACTTTTCCCAGTATAGTTCCGATATAGTTCCGAAAATGTGCGTTCACACCAAAAAAATCCGGAACTAGAAATTAGTCCATGAGAACCTTTTCACCCCCTTTTCCGTCCCTGCTAGAGAGCAGGTACTTTCATGGGAGTAAAAGGTTCCCATTTCTGATTGGCTGGGCGGATTGCAAACCACGCCCCGTAAAAAAAAATTTTTGTGAAGCCGCCATTTTATTTGCTGGCATTAGCATTATTAGCATTAGCATTAGCCCAGCGCACCAACGCAGAGAGACTAACTTATGGCAACACAAAAGAAAACATGGGAGCGGTGGAGATGAGGAGGTGTCGGCGTTCTGGCGATTTACTCTGAAGGCTTCAGTAGAAGCTGCTGGGAGTCCCAGCAGCTTCTACTGAAGCCTTCCCCAACTCCGGGGACTTCCAGCCAGGGACTCCGGGTGGCAGTATACGCCGTGAAGTGGTTTGCGGCCTGCCAGTAAACCCAAAGCAGAAGAAGACGAAGTGACGTCAGCGGCTCATTTGCGTAATCCTCCCTCAGGGACTTATTCCGGTGTGAACGCGATCTGTACTTAGTTCATGAGAACTAAATCAGGCTGTTAATGAAGTCCTTTACAGGTAAACAACAGGTAAACAACAGGTGAACAACAGGTGAACAACAGGTGATGAACACAGGGCCGGCCCTTGGCATAGGCAGTATAGGGGTATAGTACATCAACCCATGGGGGGGTGCCGAAAATTGGGGGAAACAGGTGTTTGTTCCCACTTTAAAACATCTGCATCTTTAGAGAGGAGTCTTTGTCACGATGGCAGAAACGTACAAAACTCCCAAAAAATATGTGGGATTTAAATTAAATGTTGAATCAAACTCCATCTAAACTTCATCATCACCGTTAAACTTTCACCTTCAATCTAAACATGTTAGCCTTTTAATAACTGAGAAATAACTCCACAGATTTCCAGTAAACGAGAAAAAGCTCGCCCCCGTTTCTGCGTCTGTTTTCTACGGTGGCCCTGAAGTGCAAAACGCTACAGCATTTCACAAAACACCACAGCATTTCACATTGGACGGAAAGGGTATTCCTTTAGGGAGAACACTTCTTGTTTGTGATTTGACAGAGCCAGCCAGAGAAGCACTGCTGTGATTGGTTGTTTTTGCTGCCAGTCAAGAAATGACGCTTCGAGATTGGTCAGCACCCGACAGCGCAACATGTCCCAACACATCAACCGTTAGCTGTTAGCACTCAGAGCTCACAGCTCCTGATATCTGTTCAGAAACTGGACAAAAGTGAAACATGTACAAACCACAGACTGTCTGTGTCATGGTGAATACAGTCGCTGGTTTATTTATGTCTGTATGACGCTGTTGTGAGTGTGGACGGAGCAGCTACAGGTTCATTTAGCCTCATAATGTAATGCAACTTTTTTTGGCCGATTTGCATGTTATGTACGTTTGTCTGTCAGATGTTTTGTGTTTTTGCATTCATTTTATGCCATTTTGCACATTTTGGCGGCAGGTTTGCACATTTTTGGTGGTTTTATATATCTTTATTTTATATGTTTTGCGTATTTTAGGTTTGGTTTTGCTAATGTGCTTTCAGATCTAGTTTGCATCTTCCTTGGACCTTGTGCGTCTCTGTGAAGTCTTATATCTGTCTTTTATATTCTTTGCATCTCTTTTAACCCATTTTGCACATTTTGGTGGCAGTTCTGAGAATTGGTTGAAGATGTATTTTGGGGTAACGGTGGTTTTTAATTTGTGGTCTATTTTTTATATTCTGGTGTTTTCTTGCATCTCTTTTAGTGTTAGTTTGCACATTCTTGGTGGTTTGAGATCTAGTCTGCGTCTTTTCTGGAGCTTGTGCGTCTCTGACGTCTTTTTGCACATTTTAGTGTTGGTTTTATATCTTACGTATAAAACCATACATTTGAATATTTATGAAACTATTTTTCATATTTTAGTGTTGGTTTTGCAAAATGTTGATGCTTTAAGATCTATTTTGCTACTTTTATTGGTGGTTTTATATATTTTTTAACATGAATTTTTTAATTGTATGAAACCTTTTGCAGTAGTTTTGTATTTGGTATGATTTTATATATATCTATATTTTATATTTTGTGTTTTTAGTGTTGCTTTGTAGCTATGTAGCTGCTTGGTTTGACCTTTTGCGACTCTGAGGTCTTATTGCATCTATTATTGGAGGTTACATAACATTATTTGCAGTTATTTTGCAAATATGCAACTTTTTGTTGGTCCTTTTGCAAATGTGTGTTGGCTTGATATCTATGTTTTATATTTGTGTGATATTTGGATCTATTTCCATATTTCTATGGTAGTTTCTCTCCCTCTCTTTGCAGTGTTTGGTACCAGTTGTGTATCCATGAGTTGGTTTACCGCTGCCTTATGGACCTAATCAGTAATCTTCCAACTCTTTTTCAGACACGAGATTATAGTTTCATGTGTTTAATTAATCATATTTTGGTTTTTGTAGTTCTGATCTTCTGAAACAAGAGTGTTCTCTGATCATCAAACTCTCTCTCTGTCCTCCTGCAGATCCGACAGAAAACTCCATCTCCGATAAAAAGAAGACGAAGGCTCCGACCTCCGAGAGTGAGTTTCCAAAATATGCAGCTGCAGCTTCTTTCCTTTTGTCCCAATAAGGAGCTGCAGATCACTGGTTCCCACACACACACACACACACACACACACACACACACACACACACACACACACACACACACACACACACACACACACACACACACACACACATTTCTATTTTAAAGCGTCTGTTTGTATCACTGGAACCATCACTGTCAGATTATTACTCAGCGCTCTTTAAATTTCCCATCAGCCTTGATGCTTCCTGAATGTTTCTGAATTCTGCCGGAGAGTTAATGTTAGCAGCTAGCAGTTAGCAGTTAGCAGCTAGCAGTTAGCAGCCAGGTTCCTGTGGCGTTTCTGTGTTGGTCCCTGAAGGCATCATCTCTCTGGTCCCTGAAAGCATCATCTCTCTGATCCAATGGGATTCCTCTGTGTGATTTTGGATGTGTCAGAAAATAATCTCTGTGTCAAACAAACATTTATAATCTCCACATATTAACACCACTTTTTGATTTCTGAAGTAAAAAGCTAATGTTGGGCTATAAAGGAACTACAGCACGGTCACATGACTTCACGTCACCACCGCTAAGCTAAAGGTGGCTAATGTTGGGCTATAAAGGAACTACAGCACGGGTCACATGACTTCACGTCACCACCGCTAAGCTAAAGGTGGCTAATGTTGGGCTATAAAAGAACTACAGCACGGTCACATGACTTCACGTCACCACCGCTAAGCTAAAGGAGGCTAATGTTGGGCTATAAAGGAACTACAGCATGGTCACATGACTTCACGTCACCACCGCTAAGCTAAAGGTGGCTAATGTTGGGCTATAAAGGAACTACAGCACGGTCACATGACTTCACGTCACCACCGCTAAGCTAAAGGTGGCTAATGTTGAGCTATAAAGGAACTACAGCACGGTCACATGACTTCACGTCACCACCGCTAAGCTAAAGGCGGCTAATGTTGAGCTATAAAGGAACTACAGCACGGTCACATGACTTCACGTCACCACCGCTAAGCTAAAGGCGGCTAATGTTGGGCTATAAAGGAACTACAGCACGGTCACATGACTTCACGTCACCACCGCTAAGCTAAAGGCGGCTAATGTTGAGCTATAAGGAACTACAGCACGGTCACATGACTTCACGTCACCACCGCTAAGCTAAAGGTGGCTAATGTTGGGCTATAAAGGAACTACAGCACGGTCACATGACTTCACATCACCACCGCTAAGCTAAAGGCGGCTAATGTTGGGCTATAAAGGAACTACAGCACGGTCACATGACTTCACGTCACCACCGCTAAGCTAAAGGCGGCTAATGTTGGGCTATAAAGGAACTACAGCAGGGTCACATGACTTCACGTCACCACCGCTAAGCTAAAGGCGGCTAATGTTGGGCTATAAAGGAACTACAGCACGGTCACATGACTTCACGTCACCACCGCTAAGCTAAAGGCGGCTAATGTTGGGCTATAAAGGAACTACAGCACGGTCACATGACTTCACGTCACCACCGCTAAGCTAAAGGAGGCTAATGTTTGGCTATAAAGGAACTACAGCACGGTCACATGACTTCACGTCACCACCGCTAAGCTAAAGGTGGCTAATGTTGGGCTCTAAAGGAACTACAGCACGGTCACATGACTTCACGTCACCACCGCTAAGCTAAAGGAGGCTAATGTTGGGCTATAAAGGAACTACAGCACGGTCACATGACTTCACGTCACCACCGCTAAGCTAAAGGAGGCTAATGTTGGGCTATAAAGAAACTACAGCACGGTCACATGACTACACGTCACCACCGCTAAGCTAAAGGCGGCTAATGTTGGGCTCTAAAGGAACTACAGCACGGTCACATGACTACACGTCACCACCGCTAAGCTAAAGGAGGCTAATGTTGGGCTATAAAGGAACTACAGCATGGTCACATGACTTCACGTCACCACCGCTAAGCTAAAGGAGGCTAATGTTGGGCTATAAAGGAACTACAGCACGGTCACATGACTACACGTCACCACCGCTAAGCTAAAGGTGGCTAATGTTGGGCTATAAAGGAACTACAGCACGGTCACATGACTTCACGTCACTTCATGTCACCACCGCTAAGCTAAAGGCGGCTAATGTTGGGCGTGAGGACGTCTGTTTTTAAATCCACCAGTGGGGTATTTACTGACGTATTTTATGTTGTAGAACAAAACCTGTGTAGCTTCCTGACAGCAGCAGCCTGCTCACAGTGATAAAGGAGAGCATGAGATGTATTGGTTTGTTTTTCACCGTGTGGGAATGGTGGAATTTCACTGGGATAAATGGAGCTTATGTTTCTGCCTTCAGCTCGCAGTGGAAAATCTGCTCTTATCTTTATGATCCAACTCTTAATCCTTCCTGTGTGTGTGTGTGTGTGTGTGTGTGTGTGTATGTGTGTGTGTGTGTGTGTGTGTGTGTGTGTGTGTGTGTGTCTGTGACCTCGTACCGTTCAGTTTGTGGAGCATGAAACTTAATGACTAATGAAAAGGCGCTCTATTTGTTTTGGAAATGTGGATGCTAGTTGGCTAAGTGCAGTGAGCAGGGGATTCTGGGACATTTGGCACAGCTAGCATGCTAATGCTAATGTTTGGGCTTATTGTGCAATAAAGACCTGCTTTACATTTAAACGTTTATTTATCTTGGAAACCATGTGCCATTTGATGATTTTGCTAGGCCAGCAGTTTCCCCCTGGAGGCAGTCTTTGTGCTAAGCTAGGCTAACCTCATGGTGTGTTAGCTTTTTGTAGCTGCAATGAAATTGATAACAAAAACTACAGCCTCAATAACGAGTCATTGTTTGACTTTTTTCGTCCATCTTGTCTTTTCTGAGGTTTTGTAATTGTTGTTCTTTGTGGACATTTTGAGTCTCTTTGTACATTTTTGTCTATTTTGTTGATATTGTGTGTCTCTTTTTGTGTATTTCTGTAGTCATGTTTGTGTCTTTTCTGAACTTTTGTCTCTCTACAGACTTTTTGTGTAATTTTGAACATATTCATTT